AGAATTATTGGATATATTTGTAATTTTTAATAATAATAATAATAATAATAATAAATGATGAAAGATGAATAATGAATAATGATGTGCAAGTCGTTTGTTTTAATAACTTTTTTGGTTTTGGATCTTCCTCTCAGATTCTAAGTTTACTCAGCGGGAGCTTCCAGCGTGCAAGCCAATTCTGACGCCACGATGGGTGTTTTTATTATTTCTATTTCTTAGGCAATGCTTTTGTTGTCTGTTGCAATTCCATTGGCATTTCAGGAAAATTGTTTTGTTAAATCTGTGTTTCTTGTTATGCAGGTCATATAAGCCTTTATGCTTGTTAGGATTGTCTTCATTCCTATTGGAGTGGTTACTCTCTTTGCCTCTCGAGATGTACAATCAACCCCTCCACTATTACAAAATAATGTTGCATTTTTCATTTTTGTTCCTTTTTAAATTGGTTAAGCATCAACTTTCAATTTTTTATCAGGTTGTTGAAATCATTGATTGGTATGAAACTGCTTGCGAACCACAAAACTTTAGAAATGATAAGGTCTCATTCATACAAAGTGCTGCTAACATTCACCAGAACATTGAGAGTAAGGTTCGTATGCAGCACTTTATTATTTTTCATCATATTGATGGTGGCAATGGGGGTGGGGGGAGGCAGTGATAATTTTTCTGTCTTACATACACGTGCTTGCCTTCTATGCAACCATGGAAACCTGAATTCTTTGCTATCCAAGTTCCTGTTGTCAAAACTTTTAATTTGTGATTATTTCCTGTGGTTTAACCAAAACTCTCTAATCTGTTTTGTTTCCTTCTGCCAATTTTATATTTTTTTAATATTAGACCCTACCATGTATATGTGTAGGCATTGTAGTCTAGGTACCAAGGCTTAGTCCTCCAACTATGGCTTTAGGTTTAGGGATCAAGTTGACTGCTGTGCTTATATAATTTATGCAAGTGGGCGCATATGTGATATATGATAATAAGATATAACTGATCGAATTAACTCTTACAATTAGATGAAAAATAAGTATATCTTCCTGCTGTTCTCTTGTTTCTTTTACAAGGTTAAAAAGCTCATGAAGCAGCCTATCTATGTCTACTACCAGCTTGACAACTTCTACCAAAATCATCGGAGGTATATCTTGTGTACCTGTACTATAAGTTCTGCACAGCATTATATACTCTACTACAAGATGGTCAATCTTTATAATGATGTAAAACATACTTTTTTTTTTTTCATTAGAAGATATCAGAAAATATATTGACTATCTATGGAGCAGTAGATTGTTTATCTGAATGTATAATAATATACTCAGTGAATGCCTACTTAAGATTTTCTCAACCCATGTTTTAAAATTGTTTAGATCCTTGGAGGAATGGTGGGATCTAGGACTTACATAGGGGAAACCATGGTAGTTTAGACTCACCTTCTACAGAATGCTATGCGGTGGTAGATTCTTTTGTTGGTTCCAGATGTTCTTTTTGGGGCACAAGAAGAGTTATATTTTTACTGTAAACTATACTCAAACTTTTTTATTTTGAGGCTTTTGAATTTAGGTGTACCTTTTATTTCTCTTTTTCATTGGTTTAATGACAATTCACAGTCTTGAACCCCGTATTTATGATATATTGATTGGTCCATTTCAAACTCTTGAACCATTTTCTTTTCATTTTGCCTGATCTCATTCATCCCCTTTTCTGCCTGTTATTAAGGAGTTTAGGTCCGGCAGACGCCATTTTGTAATGATTACATTTCACGTGAAGATTGATACTTAATAATATGATATATTACAATATTCTAAAATGAAATAGAATGTCACAAATGTGTTCTTTTGCCTTTGTATGCTTCTAGATTAATTTTGTCAATGAATGGGGGCTTTGTGGTTGAAATAACAATATGAATGGAAATGCATTTATTTACAATGATTCTTTGGCATCAAGTTTGGTGATAGCTTTTCATAATTCAGGTATGTGAAGAGCTGAAGTGACTCACAGCTGAAAGATGCTAAAAGTGAGGGTGATGTTGATTCTTGTAAGCCTGAAGATATGGTTGGTGACAGGCCAATTGTCCCCTGTGGTCTTATAGCTTGAAGTTTATTTAATGATACCTGCAATTTCTCCCGCAACAACCAGCAATTGGAAGTGAACTAGAAGGGTATCTGGAAGAGTGATAGGGATAGTAAGTTTGGGAAAGATGTATTTCCTAAAAATTTTCAGAACGGAAATCTTTGAGGTGGTGCACAACTTGATGCATCTATCCCAGTAAGCTTTCACTGCTTCTGGCCACTTCAGTTTACTGTTTTATTCTCTATGCTATATAATTTCTTAAGCTATATAATTTCTTAAGCAACCGGTAATGTAGAATAAAAAAAAAAAAATCTCAGGTAAGCACTCAGGATTATTAAGAGATTGTATGATTTATATGAATATATTTGAATAATAGCAATTCAATTAGTTTGAAAATTAACATTAAACAAATAAAAATATTAGTTTTCAAATTGATTTCAAAATTGATTTTTTTTTACATGATTATTAATGAACATTATAATTTATTGTTCTATGGTACATAATGCAACTTTTATGTAATGCAGCATTCAGTTTATCATTTATCTTTTTCATTTTTTTCCTTATCCCTCAGACATTTTTGTTTTCCTCTCCATCTCTCTCTCTTTGTACTTTTTTTTTTTAATTTTCATTCTTTTCTCTCTGCAAAATGTAGACGGAAGGCTGCGTACTATGAACCCTCACACCAACCCTCGCAAAGCAGAGAGCCTTGTGCACTGGGGTTTGCCCCTTTATTCTTTTCTCTCCTTGCTAGCCTGCAAGGAGAGCCCCTTTCATAGCTGGAGCAGCTTGTGGTGTAGGGGAGCATGGCAATCAGCCTTTTCTTCTCTCTTCTCTTCCTTTTTCTCTGCTTCTCCCTCCTCTATTTGATGTGCCATCACCCTCTCTTCCTCCACCTGTGATATCTCCCTCAGCCTCTCGCCCTCTTCTCCATGCTCTCTCCCGTACCTGCCTTCTTTCCCTCATAAAAAGAAAAAAAATCCCCAAAATGCTCATTAAACCCTAAGTTTGGTTGTGAAATGTCAAAATTGCAAACTTAATTTAGAATTCCAGCTGCATTCGATGACAGGTGATGGGCCTGGTATGGCTGGGACTCTGTTTTCTATATATGTGTGTGTGCAAAGATAGATGAATGTAAGATGTCACAAATCTCAAGATCTCCTTTAAAAAATACCTTGGAAGTTTGACAAAAACATATTTATATATGCTTCATAAACTTTAAATTAAGCCCACAAAAACAGACAAAAATGAACTACAAAATATGCAAAAATAACCAAGATCTTCTTTGCTGAATGTCTCGAGTAATTCCTCAAAACTTATACAATTGAATCAACTGGGTATTTGTGTGCACTTGGAAAGAAGATAATTCTGGTATCATTTCTATTCTTCATATTTATTATGTTGCTTTTACCATTTTGCTTATGTTCATTTTGATGTGTAGACACTAGTTACGTCTCCAGTTCACATTAGTCTAACAGCATCTATTGCTCGTTGGCACTCCAACTAAAATGACATGTCAGCCCTCTCCTAAAAGTCTCCCGTTGCAAATGTCAAAGTCTCTAGGAGCCTTTATTTTTTTCATTGAAGGAGCATTTGATTTTTCATTTAAAGTCCTTCCAACATTGAACTAGCAGCTAACTTATCCAATTTGATTTGCATAACAGTTGAGTGAGCAGGAAGACCTCATTGTTTGGATGCGAACTGCAGCTCTGCCTTATCTCACTATTGGTGTGCTTAGCTTCTTTTTGGCCTTGTCTTTCATTGTTGTGTATCTGGTCAAGCCAAGGTATTTTCTTTGATTACATTCATGCCACCCATCTAGACTGAGCTTTCATACATTATGAAGGTTGCTGTTATCTTTACATACTTGTCTTGGGGGAAATTTAACTAGGTAAATCAAAATTCCTCATTCTGCTGTCTTAGGCCACATTTAAAGGTAAGCTGTATTAATTGGGCTGTATAAAAGAAAATTACCTTAAATCCTAGGATTCCCATCTGTATTCAGCCGTGAATCATTTAGGTGCTAGTTTGGCTCCCCACTGGCTGAAAAGGTGAATATTTGATTTAGTGCAATGCCAAATGTATATATACAGTTCTTGGTTTTCTGTTTAGTTTCCTCTGTTAACATTTATCTGAGAGTGGCTTTAGCGTAACATCTGAAAGTAGGTTACATCAGGTTTTAACTTGGAAACCTTTGGGATGAAATAAAAATAAGATGTATTAGTAATTTTATCTCTAAAAATTAGGATGGGATTTCATATTTAGGCTTTTTAACTCCCCCCCTCTTCTCATTTAAGCTATATTTTCAAATCTACCTTTCCTAATCTTTTCTCCAACTCCTTTTCTCAGTGATACGTAAATGAAAACTCTATGTTGGTTTATTATGGTGGTTATTTGTGACCCATGGTGGTACCTTGAATCTACAATGCTACTGTAAAAAATGAGTGGAAATTGGTTGATACGGGAGCAGCTAATGAACCTAATTGTATTTATGGTATGCCTAGGGGGAGAAGTGGGGGTGGAAATGAGTAAGGATGGAAACACTTTTTATATTATAGTTAGGTTTCATAATCACCAAATCTACCTGGTGTCATCTACAGTGTATGTATTTTTTTAAAGATAATTTGCTGGACAAAGGGCTGCACTATGTCAAGAACATATATTGGGTTGCTGCAACTGATGGAGTTGTACTCTTACTATTTCAGGCAACTTGGAGACCCGTCTTATTTGTCATGGAACACACATCCAGGAGGGCACTAGGCTAGAAGATGGTTGATGTAATTTTGTGTTAATATTTAAAATGGCTAATATGTGATTTGGGATTGCTGAATATTCCAAGTAATGCTTATGAAGTTTCTATGTATAATTTCAGCAACAGCTCAATACAAAGTTGAAGAATTTTTCATCAGATAACAAAACAGAATTATGTAATGCTTTACTTCTAAAAGAATTGTAATTAATGTCACAGTATTCGAAGCAGGATATTTGAAAGGTATGCACCCTCCGGGTAAGATGGATCAATAGGATGATCACAAGCTGCTCCAGTCTGTCTTAGGATTGTGATTTTTCTCCCTGCCCTTGATGCAGCACCCTGTTTAAAAGAAAAATAGGTCAAATAACAAGATTAGGACCTGTTTGATCTCTGCATGGCTCTCAAAAGCAAACTTGTTACATATTTTAACCTTTTTGTTTTATTGTTGGTTATGGCTCTATGAAGGCAATCAACTTAAAAAAAAAAAAAAGCAAGCGTAGGAAACTAGTTCTTGCTTCAATGCTTCATAAAACAACCGTTAGATGCTGCTCTTCCTATTAATTACCTTAATGCTAACAAAGTTCATAGCAACTGACTATTCTTGTAACAATTACCTAGAACCTACTTGTGTAACAAAGAGAATTTTTATATCAATCCTTTGTTATTGAAGGTATATATGATTTATGCAATGTGCAAAAAGAGAAAATAGAAGGCAGAGAAAATAATGCAGGTGACTTGCATTGCCTATGCTCAAGCAGATGAAAGACCGATTTTAAGGTATTGCTACCATAATAACAATGCAAATGGTAACCAATTTCTTTTCTTATAATAATTTCTAAACTTACAGAGATATGCACAAGATATCTTTTCGAGGGTTTTCAGGATGGTTTCTAATATTAGAGAAAGTACAGGATACACAATCACTTGCCTGAAGAGTATGCAAGAACATCCCACTTTGAGTCATCGCTCCTGAACAAGAACAGGTCATGAGAAGGCCACCTCTTCTCGTTATTTGCATTGCTAGTGAATTTAAGTTTCTGTACATGCCTGATGCACCTTGGAGAACCTGGTATTATTAGCATCCAAGAGACAAACATAAATGGGGGTATGTTGATACAAGGGCAAAAGCATTATTGCACTCACAGCATAACTTTCATACACGAGTTGCCAGAATCTGGATGCACGGGAAGTTTTATGTGTTCATGCATGTGTGAAGCTAAAGTTAGCATATTTTTATTCATTTATTCATAGAAAACAACAAAGAAAAGTCAGTTCACTTTCCTCTTGAAATCAAGAAAAAGAAATTCGACTTGCCTAAGTTGCCTTAAACTACTCATATAGTGAGGGACTTCCATATGATATAAGAAAAAGGAATAGAATTAGTACATAGTAGATTAATCACCCCAAGAATAAGGCATACGGATTAGTCTGTCAGCATGTGCATGCAGGAGCAGGACACGTATTATTTCTTCACCTCAGAATCAAAACTCAAGTCCGCTTCCAATGTTATCCGCAGGAAGTTCAGATTGTGCTAAATAATAGATACATGTTTAATACCTTTCTGCTTGGTGCTAGTTTTGGAGGATCGAGAATAACTATATCCCACAATTCATTTCTAGAAAGAGCACCCTTCATAAATTCATTGGCATCTTCTCTCAAAAATGATATCTTTCCAGGGTCCAGATTGTTAAGAGCAATATTTTCTCTGGCTAGCTCTATTGCGGGCAATGATGTATCAACACCTGATAGAATAGAAGACAGAATCACATAAATAGTCCCTGAAAATATCCACAATCATTCAAAAAAGAGGTTTTAACTATCCCGTTTAGATGTGCTTTATGATAAGATACAAGGAGAATGCAATTTTAGGTAAAAAGTCCTATGGTATCTTATAAAATTTCAAAAGTTGAAAATCTTACCAGCTTCTCATAAAAAATGTTCAACCACAAATTTTGATCTCAATAAGGTATTATGCAACTCAATTCAACTTAACTGAACTTTAATTCCCAGCCAGTTAGGTTCTGCTATAGGAATCTTCTTCCTCAATTGCTAGCTTATGGCCACATTCTTCAACATTTTAAGAAATTCAGATATTTATCGAAGAAAAGAGGAAAACACTAGGTATGACCAAATATGGTACTACAGAAAACATAAAATACATTCAAGCTGATAGGGGAAATGACCAAATTTGGATAAGAAATTAATGAATCCAACAATACTAGGTTCTGATCGTTCTGCTTTACATGCTTTTAAATAAATTGACCTTTGGCACATCTGTCACAATTTTTTCTAGAAATTCCTTCAGAAATATGTATGTCTGTTCATGCATAACTCAGCCTTGCAACTTTAATTGGGTTGTTCTAAATATGCCTTCACACCTTGACAACTTCAACTAGCCAATATTATTAGCGGTACAAGTAGGCATTTTGCAAAAATTGAATAAAAGTTTTAGCAATTATTTACCGGTAATACTCATAGCACCTCCTTTTGCAGCATTTAGTGCAAAACCACCACTGTAGCAGCAAATATCTAGAACTTTCAGACCACGTGAAATCGTTGATAAGAACATTCGGTTTTCACGCTGATCAGCATAAAATCCTGTCTTTTGACCCTCCAATGAGATTGCATAAGAAATCCCATTTTCTGTGACCTGGCATATAAAAGTAGCATGACACCTTATGAGACTCGTGTTAAATGATGCTATAAAAGCAAAAGGTTGAAACAACAGAAAAGCTGCTGTATGAAGCATTTCAAAAACCCTAAATGAAAGGGTGATCTCAGTCACTTATCAAGCAACATGCTTTTACTGAACGGGAAAGAATGAAATCTAATATTTCTCTACATCTTATAAAAGAGAGATATAATGCGGGAAGGAGAATCTTCAAATGAGAATGTTTCTGGAAGATCAACAAGTGCAGATATTTATGCCAATAGAAGGAATAAATAATGGAGAAGCTGGATTTTGGATAAGTAATGAAAACTATTTTGAAATTTCACGAAGCGCCGTAGTAGTAATGAAGGAAAAACAAAGAATCAAAGCTGTAGTGATCTAGCATGAATAAGTAATTCTCTAAACAATTTTGTTATATTGGCTCCAGCCTCCAACTATGATTCTAATGCATGGAATGGGTCTTCCAAAAGTTAGCGGCTTCTGTCATATAAAATATATAACATCAGCAAAGGCATCAAGAAGCCAATTATGTTTGCATAACACACCAACAATTGTGTGCTTGCAATGTCTGTATGACGCTATCAGTCAATGGGAATAAGCACAATGGGAAGAATCCTTCTAATGTGTCAATCTATCATGTTGTCAGTCATAATTGAATGAAGTGTATATATTTTATTAGCAAGGACAGGTACAACATGGAAAATTTCCATGGTGAGAAAGTGTAACTTCGGGCTTAGATTTTATAGAATTTAAATCAATATGGATAAGAGTGTGCATCACAAATTAAAACATGCAATGTGTGATATTTCAACGGACTTCTACCTTTGTTCTTTGGGGACAAGTGGATGGATGCAACTCTTTCACATCTGATGCATCCATTCCTTCTTCTTTTAAAATTTCAACGGATGGTCTCCAGTATATATAATTAATTTCATCAATGCTACTGATGTATGCTTCTACTTTTGATTTATACTTCTCAACCCAAGCAGCAGATGACGCTACTACTGCTATATCTCCAAAGACATCTACTATTAATCCTGACAATCTACAGTGAAGCAATAGCATCCAATTAGCAAATAAGAAAATAAGTGTCCAGAAGCAGTTTGGTGGGAATCAGAAATGGATTATGAGAAATGGTGGTTGGTGCCCAGAAATACAGAGAAACAAACTTTAGAGCATTTAATGCGTTTTATGTTTTTTCTTTCTTTTTTCTGTTTTTGTTTCTTGTTTCTTATACATTGGTGCAGTTAGTATAAAAGTCTTGATACCACTGGGATATCACATTTTCCCTTTTGAAAGACTATCCTTAAAAGGGAAATCAACAATCCATCTGTCTAAATTACATTGATTTATTTGTAAGCCCCATAACCTGCTTCCAAATGCAACTACACTATCTATCCAACTAACCAGTGTGTAAATCCAACTTTAAGAGTAACTTTATTTGTGCATCTGTTGTGCATGTATGTCTCTTTGTTATGAATAACCGTTGGTCAAATGTCATTCCCTTCTAAATCTTGAATCAACAAGCATAATTCATAGTTAGAGTTACCTGTCTCCTTCACTATTGACAAGACGATATGCATTTGTAGTGGTTGAAGGAAGCCCTAATCCTCTACGTAACTCTATAGCTGCATTGATTCTGGACTCAAGCAACTTCTCCATGTCCAGTGCGCAAGAAGGATCTCTGCATGACATAATTTAAGGAATTTAATTGACTAGTGGATAAAGTAAAACCCAACTGTAAGATCTTGCCCTTCTTTGCATAATTACCTTGTTGCTTCCTCTTCTAGCTGCATGAGCCGAACACAGAACATAGAAACTGAATTATACAAGCCCCATCCAATAGGTTTCTCTGTCCCATCAGCTACCAACACAATATCTCCAGTCTTAGGTGGAGGTCTACCAATTATTCTATCAACTGCTCCACTGTAAACCATTGGGCTTCCATCCTTAAAGAGTTGTGTTTTGCCTTTCTTCAGAACAACCTTTGCAACATCTATCAAAGCCAAACATCTTACACTAAGCTTAAGAAATTTAAATCAATTGACTAGCCCTAGGCATGCGTTCTTTATGTGTCAGTTTTCTCTAGTAAGGCAGAGCATAAACAATGAGAGAGCAATCCAGTACAAGACACATGAATCTAATGCAGGTTGGGAGATCATTGAAGAATATCAGATACATTTGACATTAAATAAGCTTAAATGTAAGATGGGGATGGGGGGGGGGGGGGGGCAAATGAAAATAGACTAAGCACAGCCTTTCTAATCTCTTTAAACAACATCAATGATTTTCTAATATGGTTTTGGAGTCGCAGAAATCAGTCCTTTCTTGGTCCCAGAAAAAGTTAAGAATACATAATTGCAGAATGCCATACAAGCAAGAGCGCTAATATATCTATTTTTCCCTCATTTCTTAAGCCAGTCACATATAACATTATCCAAAGAAATGTATTCACAATAGCTGAAAAGCATATGCCAACTTGAAAGGAAGTGTTAGAAAGTCAGGACCAAAAGGCAAAGCAAATCAATCAATCCATTTTGTAAACTTTGATCAAGGGATGGAGATTTGAGCATTTAATATCTCCTATAAGCCTTTCATATATATATTTTGTTAACCAAATATTAAAGCAGGAAGAGCTGATATAGCTTCACAAATAAAAGCAAACTAAGAATGAAACAGAAACAGCAGCAAACAAACAGAGAAATCCATTGCAGAAAAGCAATGCATAAACTTTGGTTTATGAAGAAACCCACTTACCTTTGGGTTGAGAAGAAGCAATACGTTGAAGGTTAGAGGTGTAGGAAGCTGCTGGCAGTGGCAGTGGCAGTGGCAGCGGCAAGCGAGAATAAGAGAGGGACTTGATAAGGCGGGCCTGAACCAGCTGCATGCTTCTTTTAGCAGACAATCTTCCAGTGATTGGTTTTGTTGCTGTTTTCCGCTTACTAGGTCGGATGGTTTGGGTACACCCGAACCGACCCTATTCTTCTCCTTAGAGTGATAACTTTTTAGGATATAGTCGATCAAATTCGAATCGATACAGTATTAAGTTTAAGTTCGATTTGAAATTTAAAATTCGAAAATTCGATTTGAATTCGTTCGAATTTTATTTTTTTAATTCGAACTCGACTTGAAATAAAAATCGAACTACTCGAACTTGCTCGATTAACATGTAAAAATAAATTCGATTCTTATATTCAACAAAAATTTAATTATTTATGCTTGAACTCAAATTTGAGTTTGAGATATTTTATTAATTAAAATAATAAAATATATTTAAATATAAAAACTCGATTAGGTTCGCGAGTTACTTGAGCTAAGTATAAAAATACTTAAACTCAGCTCGATCGGTAAGTCGAGCTATTCGAGCTCAAGCTTGACTCGATAATAATCGAGCCGAATTCAAATTTTATTTGAATCGAATTCGAATAACTTACGAATATTAATGTATCATTTACAATCAACTTTAGATCAAGTCATTTGGGTTGAATCTAATTTTCGGTCCTTTAAAATTAGATTTTAGATATTCAATTCTATGTATTTGCTTTAAGTCATTTTGGATTAAATTATTGATTTTTAAAGTAAAATTAATTTAAATTCAAGCTATATCAAAGTAATCTTTTCTGTCATTCATGTTATTTTGCTTTAAATAAATTTTCATTTAGTTTTCTTTTTTTTCTTTTTTTTTTACAATAATACACATTGTTTCTGGTCTCAACTTGGGTCACTAGTTTAATAGTTATTTTCTTATCTTACTCATATTAATTAATCTAAATTACCTCTTTGATGGATCTCCCTCTGTGATTTTTTGCTCCTACCTGAATGGTTCCCATCATAAGACACCCTCTTCCGCTTAAAAGCCAAAGGGAAATGAAGCTTCTTGGCATATATATGTTTCACAATGAATTCAATTTTTGGTCCTTTAAAATTAGATTTTAGATATTCAATTCAATTCAGTGTTTTTTTGCCTTACCAAGGTGATTTCTAATCTTATTTATCAAATTAGGATAGTTTTAAATTTAATTCCCAAAACAAAGTATTCTGTAGGCATGAAATTCACGTTAGCCAAATATGAAAAAAAATAAAAAAGGGAAATATTATTTAATTAATTATAATTTTGTGAAAAATTTAATGCTAGAAAAAATTACTCTTTCGTCAAATCTTTATATATACTATCTTTGTTTTACTTTAATATCATTTACCAAATTCGTTTTTATGTAATATTTGTGATGAGTGAAATATCTGACAACCATAATATCAGACAACCAAAATTTTTAATCTATAACAAAATCCTAAATTTAGAGAGATGTGGAAGGAACTTGAGAACAAGCCATTGTTGAAGATATTCAATTGCTCTAGACATATTTATCTGACTTTTCAAGTATCAACAGATATCATCCACTACAAAAAGAAGTTGGAATTATGACAAGAGCAACAACAACAACGGAAACAAGATTTAACACCTTGTCTTTTTACAAGTCAATTGCCTACAACTCCTTTTAGTTTTTATTTTCTTGTTTTGTGTTCTCTAGTTTGGACTGACTCATTTTCTATGTTGTTGTTTTAATTACTTGATTTCTATGGAGAAAAATAGAGATGTGGAGTAAGGGGTTGGGGAAGAGATGAGAAATCTCATGACATTCGATATGAAAACCCATACTACTACAAATTAGAAAGAGAGAGAAAGAAGAAATATAAATCTAGAACCCAAAAACATAAACAATGATTGCACTTAAAATTTTAGCTTTTTAATACTTAATTTTAATGCAATTTGACTAGTTTTTAATTTGTTCTTTAGCATTTATTAGCAAAAATACTCCTAAAATTATAATTGTCTTATGTGTAGGTACAATTGAAGAAAATGAAGAATTTTGAACATAATGTGGAGGATTTTGGTGCTAATGGCTTTCGTTATGTCAATTGGTTGCATTGATACTTAGAGAGGTTTTATTTAAACTTCTCTTGCATGAATTTTTTTAGACTTATTTTCTTAGTTTTTTTAGATAGAAATACTCATTAAGTGTGAAATTTCTTTTATAAAAAAAAAATTGAAGAAGGTAAAACATATTATACATGGGGATTAAGCTATTAACAAAAGAAGCCCTAGTTGAAAAAAATAAAAAGAGCTGATGTGGTAAAAATGAAGCATTTGATTGATTGATGAGTGATTAGGAGGGAGTTCACATTCAGTTGAAAGAGCCAAGCAATAGGCGTGCACCAGAACCAGGTGTGCACTAGAACCTATATATGCATTAACACCATTGTTGTGACATTAGCAAGAAATAGAGGATAGGACCAGCCATGAATAAGACTGATGCCACAGTAAGAAATAGAGGCTTAAGAGTGCACTAGTAGTTAGGACTTTAGGTCCCTCCCCTTTACCTATAAATAGGGGATAGGATCAGCCATGAAGGACACATAGTCTATATTTTTAAATTATGTTTTTCTCTACATTTTCTTTTCTTGTTCTTAGTTTTCAAACAACTGTTTTACAGTTTTTTCCATTGAAATTCTCTACCAAATTATGTATGCTTTAATTTGAACTTTTCAAATCTTGCAATAAACTTCTCATTTACAATCAACTTTAAGCTCAAATCAGCTTATTTCTATTCACGTCTTAAACTATTTGTGAAATTGATTAGGTTGATGATCATTCACTTTTGCATTAAACCTCTAGCAAATCTTGTTAGATTTTGTTCAAAATTTTTTCACTGGTACCTAGTACATAGATCTTCAACATATATAAAATCTAGCTTTAAACTTGCAACAGAGAATTCCATATCAAAGTTGGAAGGTGTGATTGGAATAAAGTGCAAGAGCTAAACATGAATTGTCTACTTTGGCATGGAACTTCTCTCATCGTGGAGTTTTGTTTGATCTTTCTTCTTCTTAGATCTATAGCTTTATGTTTTACTTGATTAATCTTGATTAATTCTATTGATCTTACTAAAATCCAGTGATTGTTTGGATCAAATAGTTGATTCTATTTGGTGTTTTTCATTGCACTGTTGGAAGTTAAGATATTGAGCTAAAGTTCTGCATAATTTCTTTGATTTTTGTGTTGGTTCTTACTAAATCCTTGTTAATGAAGATGTTTTTAACTCATCTAAAGATCATTTGTAGCTAATGATCATATTTTAAATCTTTCATGAAGATCGTGCGATTCAATCATACATGAGTGGAATCAATTTTTGGTTGAACATTACTCTACTATTATCACATTTTCTGCTGCATTTTCATTTTGCATTTTAGTTCTTCAGTTGTTCTTATAAAATTCAGTTAGATATATTTTCATTTGTTTAGCTTAGATCCACTTTGTTCTGCAATTTCATCTACTATACATGCACATTCAATACATGTAGTAGCTATAGAAAGGATCTATTCATGTGAGGTTCACTAATTGTTCAAGTTTTTCTTTCTTTTGCATGTTAAATCTTTAGTTAAACTTTTAGATATTCATTTAAAGTTCATTTAGCTTGAGGTCATGTTTACATTCTAGTAATTCAAATTCTTTTTGCTGGTTGATACATGTTCCTTGCAATTTAGATTTTCATATAAACTTGTATTTATTTTCTGTAGTTTAGTTTTTCATATAAACTTGCATTTACTTCTTCATTTAGGATTTATACATATATAGTTCTTGTGTTTTCTCATTAGGAATCAAGTCATCTTTGGTGTGCACTTTTTTCTGCATTGCTTTGGTGTGAAATTTATGCCTTATTCTTTACTTCATGCAACAGTAACCTATTTTCTTAACTTCTATCTAGCATTTTAGGTAATATGTTGGTTCGTTTAGATTGTGTCCTAGGGGTTTCAAAGTCAGTTTAGGTTAATTTTGTTTGTATTAAAATTTTTTTTAGCTTTAAGTGCATTATAAATGTCATTTTTAGTTTGCATGAGGTATCATTTATAGAAATTATTTTTTTCTCTTATTTTAGAACTTTAGGTATTATTTTCATGTGCTTGTGTCACTATTTTCTTATTTCAATTCTTTTATGATTTGTTTCCTTATTTGATTTTCCATTGTTAATTTTGTAAAAGATTTTCTTTAAATATTGGTTGATCGAACCATCTTTAAATAGTGTATGGGGATAATTAGTACTTAATTTAGGAGCCCCTTTTACCAATCCTCGAGGGATCGACACTCAAATTTTCTAGTCTCTATTATTACTTGAAGGCCTGTATGCTTGCAAGATTTTTCAATCAAGTTTTTGGCGTCATTGTCGAGAATTGTCTGAAGAGTCTTAGGTTAATATCAATTTTCACCATACTCTACTATAGCATTGGTTCACTTTAGTGTATATACCTTAGTCTATAAATTATATTTGTTTTGGTTCTAGGTATGCATAATTAGAGTTTTATTTTTAAAGTGGTTTACTAGGTTTAGTGTTCTTGGGGCCCATGTATGCATTCTGTTAGGAATCATGAGTTGATTCCTTTAGATCTTGAGCTTGATGCTACTCGTAAGAGGATTAAGAGGGAATGGCAAATCGATCCTACTATCACTATGGCCAAGAAAGACACTAGAGCCATTAAGGATTATGCTGTGCTTGATCTTCATAGTTTTCAACATAGTATTAAGAGGCCAGCCATACAAGCCATGAACTTGTAATCATCCAGATGATATAATAGTTGGTGCAATTTAGTAGTTATTCGAGTGAGGATCTAAATGTTCATCTTTGAAATTTCTTGGAGATATGCAATACATTTAAAAATAATGGTGTTATTGAAGATGCCATTAAGCTTAGGTTGTTTCCATTTTCCCATAAAGATAGAGCTAAGAGTTGGTTAGCCTCGATACCACTAGATTCTATTACTACTTAGGATGATTTAGTTCAAAAGTTCATTACTAAATTTTTTCCTTTAGCCATGATGGCCAAGTTTTGAAATGAAATTACTACTTTTGCCCAGCAT